GGCGGGGAGCCAGCCGCACTGTCATTTTTTATTAACTTTCTCCTCTCTTCCCCTGTAGCCAGTCTGCTTTTTGTAATGCTGTTGAAGGAGTATGTATCCCATTCCTGGGGATATGGTGAAACGATATTTTAGAGTTCTGTGTCTCAGCCCATTAGAGGGGTCCATAAAACAATCACGGCAGCGAACGTTCAGTAAGTAATCAAAACCACCGAAGCCAACCACAGCAGCACAGCAACCTTGTCTGAATAATAGAACCTCTTTTGCTGTGCCTTATCTACCGTCTCATCAGGAAAGAGCTAATTAGATTCTTCTAAGAAGTAAATATTGTCAGTTCGTTGGTGGGTGGAGGTGACGGGAGGTAAGACTCACTGTCAACATTGGCAAACCGAGGCAGAAAACAAGACAAAGTCATAAAAAACCTATAAAAAGCTAATTGAGTTTTAAAGGAGCTCATTCGCCGTGTAGGAGGTGTAGCAACTTTCCCTTTTGGTGTGTGGCTTTCTGGAGGCAGAGCTGGGGGAGCCCATGGCTGCCTTGCTGCTCCAACCCAGCCGTGTGGGATGGCTGTGGGGCTGGGTTCCCTTTGTTCCTTTGGATAGCTTTGGATAGCTCTGCTCCCCGTGGGTTAAGCCAATGCATTTGATTTCTCTCTCCCTTAGCACACCTAGACTGGGCTCTCGATGGCTTACCTGAATTGCAGTGGCTTTGCAGAACTTGGTGCTGCAGCTTAGGGATGGCAACTATTGGGATCGGTATTACACAGAATGACAGAATGGCTTGGGTTTAAAGGTCATGGAGCTCCAATCCCCTGCCGTGGGCTGTTTGCCCCCACCAGCGCTGGCTGTGCAGGGCCCCATCCAACCTGGCTTCAAACACCTCCAGGGATGGGGCACCCACAACTCCTCACATTTAGGACTCTTGAGGGACAGACTTGAATGGCAAACCCCCAAAGCCATGTCATGTAAAGTTGGGCATTTAGTAGAGGGGCATGTGGGCAGTGTGAAAGTAAAGGCTGGATGTTGTGTTGAGGGACATGGTTTAGTAGGAGCTATTGGGAATAGGTGAACGGTTGGACTGGGTGATCTTTTAGGTCTTTTCCAACCTTGGTGATTCTATGATTCTGTGGACAGCTTGGGGGAACGTAATAAGGCTAGCACTGCTTTCCCCCCAATTCTTTCTCTCCTCTGTTTCTGAAAGGATGGCAGCCAAAAGGATTGATTCGGTATTCAGCCAACAAAGCCTGAGCAGCAGCTCCTGTGCTGTGCTCCGGGCAGTGCTGATCTGGATATGACAACCAGCATCGAATGACCTGAAGCTACGGGCTGGAGAGGGGAAGCTGTGTTTGCTTTTGTATCAGCCTGGAAATAGGGTTTGTGTTCGGGTTGTGTCTGCTGGCTGAGTGCTGTGCACGGGCCAGAGGGTGGCTGTGCTTGGAGGCAGCCCCAGCTACGTGAAGCAAACGCTTCGTGCATTATTGTTAAATGTAATGCTAGCTACGAACACACATTTGGTTTCTAAACTTTATTGTCACGTTAAGCAGAGAGCGGAGAGATTGATAGTCTTGTATAACAGAGGCAATTTTACCAAAGGATACGAAAACGCACTCGCTTTCATGTAAACCACACCAAAAGGTAGAGGGGGTTTTTTATTTTATTTTTGTCCCTGGAGGGCTCTTCTCCTCCCCCATAGCCACAGGTTGCTGTGTTTTCAGGGGGCACGCTGGAGTGTCGCCCCTGCTTTGATGTGGTTCCTCAAGTGTGCCTCCTCATTGGGCTCCCTGCAGATGCCTTTATGTGAAACAGAACATTAAAATCCAAATGTTCCTGCTCCGCAGGTCGTTTTTCATCCTTTATGGGCAACGTCAAATATATTGCATAGTTGTGTTGCTGCACCCCGGCCCGGGAGGGAGAGGGTCTGGGAGGGAAAGAGAGAAGGTCTGAGCGTGAGTTCCTTGCGGTGAAGCCCAAATTTCTCTTTAGCTGCTTCCTCTGGGCCTCTCCCCAGCTCTCTCTTTTTCTCAAGGTGAAACTGAAACCTCGGTGACTTCACCCAGGCCTGAAGTTAAAGAAAATTTGATATTTCTCACTTGTAGGTCACTTCAGTCCATATTGTTTCCTGCCAAGAGTGGGGGTGGGGGAAATGCCCTACTGTTAATGGAAAAGCAATTACTGTTCTTTCTGGTTGTGCAGCTCCAGCATCACACCTGGGTTACAGGGCTGGGGCTGGAGGGATGTGGGGTGGGATGGGGGGACGCACTCAGTGCCCTATGGAAGGAACAGCCACTGTGCTGTGTTGGTGTTCTTTGGTGTTTCCCTGGTTGGTGTTCCATTGCATTTCAGTGATCAGGCTTAAAAGTGCTGGGAAACCTCTTCTCACACAGGACTTTTCCAAATTCCCCAAATTGAAATTGCTTTTGGTGGGCTGGAAAGTTCAGAGGACACTGGGATTCCCTCTGGGTTCTTTCATGCCTCAGGAGGTGGCACGCACACTTTTGTTTTCCCTGCTGTGGACTTGGAATGCTGTCAGTTTTTGTGAGCTTCAGTTCATGAACAAAATCAGAACGATGCAAAATGCAAAACGTGGCCTTTGTTTGAGATGTTGAACTCCTTGAGTTGGAGCAGTGACTTTTCCTAGGGCAAGCTTTCTTGCTTTTCATTCTTCATATGAATTCTACTCATCCGTAGGCGTTATGTGCTGCTGTGTGCACCTCCTGTGAGCATGGCTGAGGGAATCATGGGATGGCTTTGGTCGGAAGGGACCTTAAATCATAGAATCATAGAGTCACAGAATGGTTTGGGTTGGAAGGCACCTCAAGGATCACCAAGCTCCAACCCCTCCACCACAAGCAGGGCCACCAACCTCCACATTTAATACCAGCCCAAGCTGCCCAGTGCCCCATCCAACCTGGCCTTGAGCAGAACGGTTTGAGTTGGAAGGGACCCTTAAAGGCCACCTGGTCCCACCCCCACAATGAACAGGGACATTCAGCTCCTGTTCCTGTGTTCATGTAGTAACACCTCATGTTATTTGGAAAGGCTTTGGAAAGCCATTGGGTGGCAAGGCACTGTGCTTCCCAAGGACATTTGCAGGGTCCTCCGGGGAGACTTAATTCCATGCTCAGCCTAAAATGCAGAGTGTTGTGTGCTCGTGGTTTGGGCATTGAAGGTTGAAGCCAAGGACTGCGTCCTTCCGCTTGCTAGTCCAGCTTGTTCTTCTCCCATGACCACTTTCTCATCCTGTGATCTGCCTACACCCTGTTAATGATCTGTATGAAGCTCAATGTTTGATGTAAAACTTTGCATTTTCCCATTCTTTTTCCTTCTCTTTTTAGAGGCGGGAAAAAAAAAATTACATAAATTTGAGTGAATTTAATGAGCGCGCTGAGCTTGCTTTTGGTGTGATTTACAGTGGATCCAGCATTATAACTTCAGTACACTTTGGTTGAGTAACTTATGTCATTAGTGGGTGTATCTGAGAGGAGAGCTGAGCTCGGACCTCTTTGTTGTGTGGGCTTCAGAAGGACCAAGAGCTCACTCCCCTTTTTGAAGTCCTAATTCCCTTTATATGGTGTTGCAATGCCTTTCTATAGAGCAGCGTCTCTGAAGTTAGAGATTTCTAATGCAAAAAAGGCCACTTTTCCCCAATTGCTTCAAGTATTGACGTTGCTAGCAAAATTTGTCTTGGGCAGCGCTAACACAGACCTTGGCCTTTTTGGCTCTGTTGCAAAAAATCCCTACAGTTGAGATTCCTCCCTGAAGAGATCTTCCAAAGGAGCCCATTTGTTAGTCCCCTTGCTTAGCCCTTACTGCTCTCCTAACAACAGCACTTGCAGAGATCCTACATCGTTCCAACCACTAGAGGTCAAGATTGGGCTGTTGCACGGCGCTCCGCTCCGTCGCTCCAACCCTGCTGCAGCCACGGCCCGTGTCGTTTATACGTTCAGTTTTGCAATCGTTGCCCCGTTTGGCAGCTGTGGTGAAGCTGGTTGGTGTGCAGATGTATGCAGGGTGGGCTTTGCCTTGCAGCCCGGTGGGTTTTGTAGGGATGCAGAGATCGGCGCCGCGCTCGGTTTTAGTATCCTTCAGATCTGCGCCAGTGATCTGTCTGTGGGGTGTTTGTTCCCAGGGAGGGATTCGAAAGGGAGCTGAGCTGAGAGAGGCTGTGGAATTAAAACTCACTCGGAAATTCTTTTGGTGGGATGTGAATCCTTGGTAAGCGTTGACAAGGAAATCGTTTTGAAGGTTTGTGCTCTCCGTGGTGTCCAGCCTGACCTTGGAGGTCTCCAGCACAGCCATTGCTCCTCCTTGTGCTCCAGCTCAAAGCTCATTTTCTGCTCTTGGGCAATTGGGGCTAATTGATTTTTGCTCTTAGAATCCAAGAAAGCTTGGCAGCAACTTGCTCTCTGCTACAAAGGGAGCCCAGGGCTGAGGGAGCTGCGCTGGGGCCACATGCTTTGCTCCACGAGCCGTGGCCTTCTCCCAGGCCGAGCATCCTGGTTGAATACCTTGCACAGATCGTTCTGTAAATCAGCAGCACCGCAATTAAGATCTCCTGGGGTACCACAAAAATGCTTTCAGGAACCTCTGGGGTCCAGATGTGGAATGTTTTGTGCTGACACGGGTTGAAAAGAGGAACAAATCCAACGGTTAAGTAGGTCCTTTAATTTAGCCTGTGACAGTCACCACATGGCCTATGGGCTAATATTTCTGCGTCTGTGCTGTAAATAGATCAATATGGCAGGACGATGGGTTTGGCATTTTGATTTGTGAAGAGTCAGAATATTGTTTGTATTGTTGCATAATCCCTGGAATGGTTTTGAAATGAATCTTCTGTTTCTTTGGAATATCTGGGTTTGGAAAAACATAACATTTCAAAGTTCCATTAAGTGTGTGTGTTTTATTTTGTCTCATTTGTCGTATTTCATGACTGATTGCATCTTTTGGCCAAAAAAATACGTCCGAGGATGCTGTCGTAAAGCTTGAAATCTGCTTTTTTTCTAGGCACAGCAGCAAAGAAACCTGGACAATATTGTATCGCAGCACCCCAGGATAAGCGGGGGGAAGAAGTCCAAGAAAGAAGGCTGCGCAGGCTCAGATTTGGAGGTAAAGAACACTAGCCCCATGTCTGAGCAGGATTCGGGTATCCTGGATGTTGAAGATGAGGAGGAGGATGAAGAGGTAACTGGATGCCATCAAACTCAGGGCATTGGGGTGATAAGCTGTGTCTCGGTGCTCACACCTCACTCAGTGTTTCCTGCCCCTGTGCAGCACGCCATAAAGATGCTGAGCAGATGGTGGAGCCTTTCTGAGTTGGGTCATTTTGCACTTCTGTCCTTGCTAGCAGGCTCAGCAGAGATGCTTAGTGTGGTAGGAGAGCAGAGCAGCTCCTGCCTTCAGTCCTGCAGCTCTGTGGCCTTTCAAAGCAGAGAAATCACCGCACAGCACGCAGGATATTGATATTGAGCTTTTTCTGTGCAGTGAGTCTTGTGGCAGATGCATGCTTTATGCTGAGAAGAGTTTCATTAGGACAGAATTTTTGAGGATGCAATTGTAGTTCCTGGTGTGTTTCTGTTGCTGGCCCTTTCTTTAACAGTGATTTCTCGTAGTAGAACTGGTTTGGGTTGGAAGGGCCTTTAAAAGGCATCTGGTCCCACTCCCTGCATCGATCAGGGACATCCACAGCTCCACCTGGTGCTCCTAGCCCCATTCAGCCTGACCTTGGGTGTCTCCAAGTGACACCACCTCTCTGGGTCACCTGTGCCAATGCCTTACTGTCCTTAGTGCAAAAAACTTTCCCCTTATATCCAGTCTGAATCTCCCCTCTTTTAACCTTTGAAATGGTTTCCCCATGTCCTGTCATAACAGACCCTGCTACAGAGTCTGTCCCCTTCCTTCTCACAGCCCGTTTAGATACTGAAGGCTGCTCTCAGGTCTCTCTGGAGCCCTCTCTTCTCCAGGCTGCACAGCCTGTCCTGGTAGGAGAGGTGTTTCATCCCTGGGATCATTTTTGTTGCCTTCCTCTGGTCACACTGCAATCCCTCCCGTGCTGAGGATTCCGCATCTGCATGCATTGCTCCAGGTGAGGCCTTACCAGCACAAAGTAGAGGTGCAGGATCAGCTCTCTGCTCTGCTGGCTGCGCTGCTTTGGATGCAGCCCAGGATGATGTTGACTGTCTGGGCTGTGGGGGCACATTGCTGGCTCACGTCCAGCTTCCTACCCACCAGTACCCCCAGGTCCTTTTTGGCAGGGCTGTGCTCCATCCTCACGATCCCCAGCTTGTGCTGATAGCAGAGCTTGCAGCAGCCCAGGTGCAGACCTTGTGCTCCACTTCGTAGAACCTCATGAGGTTCCGTGCCTACGGCTCAACTTGTCGAGGGTCCTTTCCCTCATCTGTGCCACAGTTCCATGCCCAGGGCTGCCTTTCCCAAGTTTGTTCTGTTGGGTTCTTTCCTCTCCATCCCAGATCACTGCTTCCTAACAGGGAACGAAGCCTGTAGTGCAGCTCAGATCCCTCCTGTTCCACTGGATGGTGTAAACACCAAGGAGGGGAGATAAATACTGCAATTCGTGCAGCACAGTGCAGTAACCCTCAGCTGAGGAGCATCTCCCCAATTGTGGATCATCTCCCCAGTTTGGAGCATCTCCCCAGTTAGGATCACCTTCCCAGTTAGGATCACCTCCCCATTTAGGATCACCTCCCCATTTAGGATCACTTCCCCATTTAGGATCACCTCCCCAGTTAGGATCACCTCCCCATTTAGGATCATCTCCCCATTTAGGATCACCTCCCCATTTAGGATCATCTCCCCATTTAGGATCGCCTCCCCATTTAGGATCACCTCCCCATTTAGGATCACCTCCCCACTTTGGATCGCCTCCCCATTTAGGATCACCTCCCCACTTTGGATCACCTCCCCATTTAGGATCATCTCCCCATTTAGGATCACCTCCCCATTTAGGATCACCTCCTCAGTTAGGATCGCCTCCCCATTTAGGATCATCTCCCCATTTAGGATCAGCTCCCCGTTTAGGATCACCTCCCCATTTAGGATCATCTCCCCATTTAGGATCACCTCCCCATTTAGGATCACCTCCCCACTTTGGATCGCCTCCCCGTTGCCGGCGCTCTGAGCTCCACCCGCAGCTGCCCGGCAGCGGCCGCTGTCCGTGGTGATGAAACGGGGCGGGCGGGTCCCGCTGCGGCGCTTCCCCAAACTCCTTGCCCTCCGGGCTTTCTTTTCTCTGGAAAGAGAGCTATTTTGTTTTATTTAATGGGTTTTTCTTCGGTTGTTGATTTTCTTATTTATTTATTTTGTTTTCTTCTGCTTTTTTTTTTTTCTTTTTTCTTTTTTAGTTTTCTTCTGTTTCGTTTTGTTTGTTTGTTTGTTTTCTTACGTTTTTCTCTTTTTTTCTTTGTCTTTTCTTCTGCTGCTTCTCCCCCTCCATCATTGTCTTCTCTCCCCTCCACTTTCATCATCTTCAACCCTCCCATCTTCTCCTCCCATTTATTTTTCCTTTTTGAGTGCACATGGATGGCGGTCTAGGGCCCCCAATACAAGAAGGACAGGGAGCTGCTGGAGAGGGTTAGAGGAGAGCCACAAAGATGGGCAGAGGGCTGGAGCATCTCCCTACAAAGACAGGCTGAGGGAGCTGGTTTGTTCAGCCTGGAGAAGAAAAGGCTGCGGGGTGACCTCATTTCAGCCTGCAGTACCTAAAGGGAGCCTACAGACAGGAGGGGAGTCAACTCTGTGAAAGGGTAGATAACAGCAGTACAAGGGGAGATGGTTTTAAGTTGAGGGAGGAAAGATTGAGGTTGGATGTGAGGGGGAAATTCTTGACAGAGAGAGTGGTGAGGTGCTGGAACAGTTGCCCAGAGAGGCTGTGATGCCCCGAGGTGTTGAAGGGCAGGTTGTTTTGGGCCCTGGGCAGCCTGGTCTTGTATGAAATGTGGAGGTTGGTGGCCCTGCCTGTGGCAGGGGATTGGAGCTTCACAATCCTTGAGGTCCCTTCCAATCCTTTCTATTCTGGCCATTGTATGATCCTATCATCTGGTAATAGAGTTGTTAAACCCAAGGTATCAGTATTTGTGTTACAACTGAGAGTGACTTCAGCCAGCAGCTGAGGACCCCCCCAGCTGCTCACCCACTCCCCCTTCTCACCTCCAGTAGGTTGGATGTGATCTAAGGGACAAAAGTGAGAGAACTCATGGGCTGATTGTATAAGTGGCTTAATAAGCAAAGGGAGAAAAGAAACCCTGCTGTTGGTGCAGACTCAGTCATTGCCCACGTCCTGCCATCAGATGGATGCCCAGCCAGTCTCCAAGCAGTGGACATTTTCTGGGGAAGCAAAACAAAACGATCCACAAATTTCCCCAATATTTCATTGCTGAGCACGATGTATGGAATGTCTCTTTTGTCAGTTTGGGTTTGGTGTCACAGCTGTGTTCCCTCTCAGCCTACTCAATAAAAGCACAGTGAGAAGCAGGGAGGGCTCTGCTGCTGGGTGGGTCAGTAATTCACTTAATCCTATCTCAGACTGGTACAGGTATACACTGTCAATGCTAAACTCTTTGGTGAGGTTTCTGGCAGTGACAGGGCAACATGAATGTTGTTTTCCATGGCTGATGCTTATTTCCACCTTTTCAGCTGCTAGCTTGATCTCTGCTCCTTCCAGTTATCTCCTCTGTGTAGTGACAAAAGGCAAAGTACTGCTAGGGCAGAGCTTGAGACTTCTGGTTGGAGGACAGCCAGTGGTGGGTGAATCTGGGAGGGAGGAATGAAGGGTTCCTGCCCCCAGTCCTACTCAGAGCTGAAAACAGAATGATATTCAGAGGTGGTTCTTGTGAAGTGCTTGGCAGGAGAGACCTTCTGATCCCCTCCCTGGCTGAATCTGCAAAAAGTGGGTTAAATACAATCCTTTTAATCTCTGGGAAATAATTGAGCCCTGCAGCAGGCTGCGATACAGAGTTTTCCATCGAGGCTGGATGAACTGCTCCAGAGATCTCAGAGTTCCTCCCCCCCTTCATCCAGGAACAGAATTAACAAGAGAAGCTTTGAAAGGAACAGAGGACCAGAAGAGTTTTGCTTCTACTGTTGCATTTATTTTTTATGTAGATCATTTTCTCTTCTGGGCAGCAATGGGGAGCAGTGCCAGCTGCATTCAAGAAGACCATTGTGAGGCGTGGTTCCCCACTCCATTAGAGTTCTGCACTCTGGAGACATCATAGTCCAGACAGATGCTTCACTGTGGTGGAAGCTCCCACTGTAATGAGAGCAAGAGTGTGGGCACAGCTGTAAAGCGAGCTGGGAGATGACTTGAGTTCAGTTTTTATGAATGTCAAGTGGTAGGAGGAGGATCAGTGTTTCATACTGAGCAGCTCCATGGCCTGCTCTGTGTGTGCCAGCTGCTCCCTTTGTAGTGTTCTGGATGCTTTTTACTACAAAGCTCATCCAGATTCTTCTCGTTTCCAGTGACTTTTCTTTTGCCATCCCGTTGAATCCATCACGTCAAAGCTCGCCTGCATTCTCCCTCATTTCTTCTTGTTCCCCAGAAGTCTGGCCAGGCGTTTGTGACGTGGTTGGGTGGGAATGGACCTCCTGGTTCTCCTCTGTGGGAGAGGGAAGGTTGTAAGGAAAGAGTAACAGCCCCTCATCTCTCACTGAAGAACAAATCTACAAATTCCAGACGGTTCTCTGTTTGGAAAGGAAGTTTGGCACCGAGGACATCAGCAGATGTGAGGTGTAGCCAAAACTCATCATACTCCTGGCATTCTTTCAGGTTGACCTGACTGTAGGAGTGTTGTAATTCTCTAGGTGAAGGTGAGAGATTGATGACAGTTTAGGGAACTAGAATTGGGACCCCTCAATTCTCTCTCAGCTTTTCCTGATAAATGGCTGCGTTGGGTGCCATCAGCCTCCACTTTCTGCTTGCTCTCACTAGTAATTCCACACACACAAAAAAAACAACAACAAAAAAACCATCTTGGACATGGAGAGAAAACTTTCTGTTCCCAGACAAAGCTGTCTGCCTGCTGTCTCCAATGTCAGCCAGAATGAGATCAGTCTGCAGGACGATGTGGCAGCTTCCAGTACTGCAATGCTCTGAGCGTCCTCCAAGAGCTGCTGGTACCCAGAGAGATAAGATGAGAATTGTTGAAGGTACACAAAACCAATGCTTCTTTCAGCAGTAGGGGCTTATTTTGTAAAGTAAACACATTCTGAATGTTGGTCAGGCACTGGCACTGCTGCCCAGGGAGTGGTGGGGTCACCATCCCTGGAGAAGTTCCAGAACTGTGGAGATGTGGCGCTGAGGGACGTGGTCAGAGGGCACGATGGGGTGGGTTGGGCTTGGTGAGCTTAAAGGTCTTCTCCAGTGTCTATACCATGTGAAGAGAGCCATGGTGCTAAATGTCATAGGCTGGATTTGTGGCTGCAGTACTGTGTGTGCATGCGTTCATTGCAAAGATGTTCAGAGGGCTGGAGCACCTCCACTACAAAGACAGGCTGAGGGAGCTGGGCTTGTTCAGCATGGAGAAGAAAAGGCTGCGGGGTGACCTCATTGCAGCCTGCAGTACCTAAAGGGAGCCTACAAACAGGAGGGGAGTCAACTCTGTGAAAGGGTAGATAACAGCAGGACAAGGGGAAATGGATTGAAGTTGAGGGAGGGAAGATTGAGGTTGGATATCAGGGGGAGGTTGTTTTCTATGAGAGTGGTGAGGTGCTGGAACAGCTGCCCAGAGAGGCTGTGATGCCCCGTCCATTCCTGGAGGTGTTCAAGGCCAGGTTGTTTGGGGCCCTGGGCAGCCTGGTCTTGTATGAAATGTGGAGGTTGGTGGCCCTGCATGTGGCAGCGAGGTGGATTGGGCTTGATGATCCTTGAGGTCCCTTCCAACCCAAGGCATTCTATGATTCTGTGATCTGCACCAGTGAGCCCATGTACTTGGGTTAATGGGTCAAAGTGACAGATCAATAACCTGTGTTTCTGGCTCACGAATCCTGGTGTTTCAAAGTGGATTTTTCTTTCCTAATGAAATAGGAGCAAATGTATCTATGCTTGTGTCATGTCATTACATCAGAAAGCAGCAAGGATCAGAGAGATTAAAGCCATTGTATTGCAAATGTGTATAGAACCAGAACGGAGCATCTCTCATCAGAGGCATCATAGAATCATCATAGAATCAATTGGTGTTGAAAAGGACCCTTAGAGGCCATCTGGTCCAGCTCCCCTGCAGTGAACAGGAACAGCTACAACTCTATCAGTTGCTCAGAGCTGTTTCCAGCTGTATTTCTAGGGATGGGGCATCCACTCAGCCATCTCTGGCACATGGTTGTGACCGTGTCAGCTGCAGATGAACATTTACACTGAAAACATGGCTCTAATGGGTTAAATTTTCTACAGTCAGCATTGAACCCAACTGAAAGTGCTCCTGCAGAAGGCAGGGGTTGGGCTGTTTGCAGAGGCTGACAGCTCTGTACCGTGAGCGTGCCGAACGCGGGGTTTGGGAACGAGGTCTGTGGAACAGGAGAACCCTGGACAAAATGAATCAACTCATTGTTCTACAAACTAAAAGGGGGGGGGGGGGGGAAAGATTAGGCAGATGTGGAGATGTCGGAGGAGTAATTGGTTCTGTTGAGGTTTATTTCTGTTTCTGAACGCTGGGGAAGAAACTCAAATAGGTGCTAAAGGGGAAGTGCTCAGCCTGAAGGATGCCCATGTTTCCCTTGTGTTGGGGTATGGGGAAAGTTGCATGAGATTCCATCGGGGAAAGTGGATTCCTGTTTGGAAAACCATGAATGTGCCTTCTCTTTGCCTTAGAAAGCAGCTCTTACTGCCCAATGTGCTGAAACTGCCTGAGATCTACACTGGTCATGGATTCATAGAACGGTTTGAGTTGGGAGGGACCTTAAAGGCCATCTGGTCTCACTGCCTGCAATGAATGGGGATGCTTGCAGAGGCTGAAATGGGTTCCAGTGGCACAGTGCTGCTGTGGGGCTGGATGTGGACAAGGTGCTCCTTCAAACTTCGTAGGTAGGATCTCAGAGCAAGGTTTGGGTGCTCGTTTTCTCACGAGTGCATTCCAGGTTTTGCATGCAGCCGTGTCTGGGAGCCTTCTAAGTGGATTAGCAATATTAAAAGTATTGATGTGTCAGATATTAAGTCTGCAGGAACGTCCAGCGTATTCTTGGTGAGCATGTGTGTGGGCTTAAAAGCTTTTACAGAAGATCAGAGGCTGTGAAAATGCTGCAGTCTGGTTTGAAAGAATTTCTCTGGAGGAGTGAGCTCCATTTTTGGCAATAACCCGATTTCATGAATCTTTATCAGAAATATTTCCCTGCGGGCCGCGTTCAGTTAATGCCCCAAATCCGAGAGGAGCAAAACCTTCTGATCCTGAATTCAACTTGATAGGAAAACATAAATCTCCTGCTGTGATGGTGGTGGGAGGGGATGACAGATCTCCCCTCGCTTAGGAGAGCACAGGGAGCTCTCAGATCCATCCCATGCAGCTCCCAATGCTGGTGGTGGTCACTGGGGATGATTGGGCCCGGTGTGTCCTGGCATCCCTCTGCCTTCTTGTCGCCATCTCTGGAGGTTTTGCACTCTAGGATTCCTCAGCCTGAAGTGCTCTAAAGAAATCCCCACGTTTCCCTTTCCAAGCCCGTTCTGCACTCCTCTACCCAAAGCCTTTGCTGCTCACCCCAGGTGCTTTGGGCAGCGCTGGTGGAGATTGGCATGCCCTCATCCAGCCACAGCCTTCTCCCTGCTCCGTCCTACCTCCTTTTTAGCAAAATGCCTCTTAAGCATAATTAAAAATAAACATGTTTCCCAGGCCTGTCCATTGGTCCCTTTCATCTTTCCCCTTTTTTTTTTCCTCCGCATGTCAACAGAACACTCCCTTCCTCTCTGGATTTTGGGGGAGAAGGAGGGTTGCTTTAGCTTTATGCCTTGGCCAAAAAGCTTAATGCTGTGTTGGCTTCAACATATCCAAAGGACAGAAGCTTCTTCTATGCAAATTTCCTCTCTGATCTTCCTCTTACCCTCTCTCCTTCTGTCCCACCCTTCCAAACTGTGCTTCCTTGTCCCTACCAGAGGCTCACTACTGCTGTTGAAAGGTGCTGGAGTCTGTGTGTCTTATTACCTCAAAAGAAGAATTTATGTTTTTAAAGAAATCAAACTAAAAATACAGAGAAAGGCTGTTGTTATGTTGCATGGGTGCCAAGGGTGCCTAAACTTACATTGAAGCTTACGATCAAAATTAAATCTCTGCTGAGCGGGTTAACAAAAGGATGCAAAATGAATGTGATTTCAGAGGGAAGCTCAAATGGAACAAAAATGATATTCAGTGATGGTTTTCTGCTCTGAGAAACTTGTAGGATTGTATGTGCACATATGTAGACAGGTGTCAAGAATCGCTGCTATTGCTGCAGCCCTGAAATCTCAGTGCATCTCTCGGCCTTGCAGACCTTTGAGCTGCAACTGATTCTCATTGGGGTGGGTGGACCTGCACCTCGTGCTGACCTCCTGCTCTCTTCCAGGTGCCCGGGGCCCAGGAGCTGGTGGACTTCTCACCCGTGTACCGCTGCCTGCACATCTACACCGTGCTGGTGAGTGAGCCCTGCTGCTGGCAGCCTGCTGAAACATAAGGGGGTATTTTCTCCCACTGCTGCAGTCCTTGGGTTTGCAGGCCCAGTGCTTATACCTTTGGTGCAGATTCATCCTGAAAGAACCCTCCTCTGACCTCAGTAACTTCATTATTCATTGCAAACTGAGAGGTTGAGGGGAGAAATGGTTTTAGAGATCTTATCTGTAGCCCTTTGGAGAAGTTTTGCTAGAGTTATGCTTGCTGCTGTCCAACCAAACCCCAAGTGTCACTGTGCCACGTCCAGTTTCCCAACAGTTGGGTTTTTTCTCCTTTACAAGCACTGGAAAATGTGTCTGGACTGGAGGTGCTCTGTGCTTGCATTTGGTTGCTGGCCAAGCCATTCTGTGATAAGGTGACCTTTGTAGCTTGCACCTTGGCTTTTAATTTTCAGCACACCTTTGGCAGTGTATGAGCCATGCAGCATACAAATCTCCCGACCCCCAAACCTGTGTTCCTTAATGCATCTGTTCCTTAATGCTGGTAATGTCTTCTGCTGAGCTCTCCGAGGCTCTCTCCTGCAGCTGGGCAATGGGAAGCCAGGCAGCACATGAAAGCACAGCTCTGTTAGCAGCTTTCCTCCCCTTCCTCAGCGGAGCCAGGCTTGAGAGAGCATTGTTTTTAGAGGCACTTCTGAAGGACAGGCTCTCCAGCAAGGCATACAAACGAATTTGCAAAAGGAAAAGAATTGTCATAAAAAACATTTATGTAAAATCTTTTTTTTTTGTGCCTTCATCTGTTAATAATTATGTAATTTGGCTCCATGGCCGTGATTCTGTAGCGGAATGAATAAGTTAACCTACCCAAAATGTGTTACTCTGTTTATCTTGGACAAAGGCTCCCACTCAGAGCCGGCACTGGAAGCCCGGTGCAGGGAGTGTGCTAATTGAAGATTACAACTGGGCTGAAATGCTTTGTGCCTTTCAAAGTGTCACTTTATTTGGAGAAACTTCAGTGAAGTCTATGTATAATGAAAACAGCCTTAGGAATCCCATTTGTGTAGCTTACAGGTTGGGTTTTTTGGTTGTTGTTAATGCAGGGCTATATGCCTGCGTAATTATGCATAGTGCTCTTATGGGAAGGATGAGGAACTCTCATGGTTGGACGTAGCAGTTTTGTGCATTGAGAAGGTTCACGTTTATGCAGTGTTGTAGGCTTGGGGCTCAGGGTGCCACTGAAATTTTGTTGTTTCTCCATCTTGTTCCTTTGCTTATTGCCTTGGAAGGTGATTGGTTGTGCAGCTCTCCAAAGCGTATGAAGGAAAGCCAGGCGTTGTGGCCAATGCTCTGCAGCAGATCATGGAATCATAGACTGGCCTGGGTTGAAAATGATCACAATAACCATCCAGTTTCAACCCGCTGCTACATGCAGGGTTCACCAACCAGCAGAAAAGGCTGCCCAGAGCCACATCCAGCCTAACCTTGAATGCCTGCAGGGATGGGGCATCCACAGCCTCCTTGGGCAACCTGTTCCAGTGCCTCACCACCCTCTGGGTTGGGTCCTGTCCTCCTGCACTGAGATCCTTCGGTCCTTCTCCTCCTCCCTCTCCTATTTCAGCCAAAAGCCGTGGTAATGAGCAGAGAGAAAAGGTGTGCTGGTGAGATAGGAGTAAAACGAGGTGAGGCCCCCTAGAAAAGCCTTCTGAAAAGCAAATTGCCCTTTTTCTGACCTGTGCTCAAAGCCTGAGCTGGCTTTCTAGGCCCAACTTGAGCTGAACAATGCCAAAGATCCAGCGCGCGTCGAGGGAAACGACCACATCAGTGTCAGACGGAAGGATCATAATGTAATAGTTACCAAAAAATCCTAATATTTGTCATTTACAATAGCGTTATCTAAATGCTTGGCCTGCAGTTAAAAAGGCCCACGTTGAATAAACATTGAGATATTTATTATTTTTAGTGAAATCGACCTTCCAGTCACCTCGGTTTTATGGCTGCGCTGCTTATAAATTCCCAAAGGATTATTTGAAAAATCCTACTCATATCTGCCAGCCTTATCAGCAGGGCAGAAGTTCACATATTGTAAGGCGAGGTCAGCCTTCGGTCATGGTCTTACAGACGGGGCCAGGCACCTGTAAATCCTTCCTTCAGCAACCAAGGCGAAGTACAATATCAAACGGCAGCGAGACTTTTCCAGGAAGCGCTGAACTTTCTCAGGAAGGGCAGAGGAGGGGGAAAGAAAGTGAACAAGGGTCAGGCGGTGGTTAATGGAGAGCTGGGCCTTGGCGCGGCAGGACGGGCTCCGGTGGGATGCTTTATGGGGCCATTCATCGGCGATCCCGTGTCGTGTGGGAAATGGCCCTGGAGACGTTGTCCCGAGGAACACATGGGCGTAGGGGAGGCTTTGAATCCTTGGAGTGATGGAACAAAACGTTGCAGGAGCGCGTTGTGTCCTTTGTGTTTGCTGGATAAGCTTTTGTTGCTTCGTTCAGCTGTGCGCAGTGATTGCTGTTAGCCCTTAGGTTTCTTGACTGTCGTGTAAGACTTTGGAGTTTTGTCCCTAAACGACAGGTTCTTACCCACACTGTGGTTTCCTTAGGTGACAAATGTGCATTGAATTGCTTTATATAAGGCTTTACAGCTGAAGTTTTGCATTGGTCTGAGTCGCTGGCCGTTCAGCAACTTTGTATTTCAGTGGGCATCCTGGTAGTATTGAGAAATGCACAACATCCTTTTATTAGGAAGAGAAAAAGAAAAAAAACAGGCAAAAGCACTTGGAGAAGACTGGGACTGTTAGAACATTGAGTGTTCTGAGTTAGAAGAGACCCATAAGGATTATGGAATCATAGAATGTCCCAAATTGAAAGAAACCCATAAGGATCATGGGATCATAGAATGTGAAAGAGACCCATAGGGGGCATGGAATCATGGAATATCCTGAGTTGAAAGAGACCCATAGAGGTCATGGGACCTTAGAATGTCCTAAGTTCTTTACAAGGAGAGCGGTGAGGTGCTGGAACAGCTGCCCAGAGAGGCTGTGATGCCCCGTCCATCCCTGGAGGTGTTCAGGGTCATTGGATGGGGCCCTGGGCAGCCTGGGCTGCTGTGAAACGTGGAGGTTGGTGGCCCTGCATGTGGTGGGAGGTTGGAGCTTGTATAATCCTCAAGATCCCTTCCAACCTGAGCCATTCTGTGATTCTATGAATGTCCCAAATTTGGAAGAGACCCATAAGGATCATAGAATCCTAGAATGTCCCAAGTTGGAAGAGACCTATAAGAATCATTGAGCCAAACTCCTGGCTCCACATAGGACCGCCCAAAAATCAGACCGTGGGTATGGTGGTCCTTCAGAAGCCAGGAACGCTGTATGAAGAAGTAACAGAGAGAGGCAGCAAGGTCAGGGTGCACACTGTGGGCTCCGTGGACAAGGTTGGCTCTGCTTTTGGCTGGGGTTGAGTGTCAAAAACCCCTTTGGTTTGGGTAGAGCAGCGATGAGCTATTTGAGGACATTCCTCTGAAGAGACTGCTGGGCTGTTTTGTATCAGGTACATCTTCTCTTTGAGTTAATAGAGAAGTTTGTTGAAAAATGGTGATGTTATTATATAAAGAAGAAACAAGGAGATTTCAGTGCAGCGATTTTGCCATTGACGTTTTTATCTTTTATGTTGTCTTTGACGAAAGTCTATGTAATGCTCAGGTTGCTTTGATCGATATCCAAAATAAATTAGGAAAGGTGAGGTTTGGGCCAGATGGTTTATCTGCTGGAGCATCTGAACAGCTGTTGGGAGCCTTGTATTTCAAGGCCAAGACATGGAATTGCTTTGCTTTACATAACATGAAATGAAAAGCAGTTTTTGTTTCATGTTTCCCATAAGCTGTAGCGAGTCAGAAAGCAAAGAGCGAACGGAGAGCAGAAAGGAATTAAAACAGAAAGAAAGAAAGGTGAGAAAGGGAGGATAATTTGCAGGCAGGGCGCTCCCAAGCAGTTGTCTGTGGGGCAGATGAAAGTGATTCAGGTCGCTGGAGCTCCTGCTTCAGCCCCTGCTGCTGCCTGGTAGCGCTCAGGGTTCGTCTCAGTGAGGTGTTTTTCTCTTGTAAAGGTTTATGCTAATTGGTAACCAATTACTTTGAGGTTCTTCACATGTTGGTGAAGACACTGGTATTGACGCTCCCAGCTCTTTGATCCGAGCTACAAAGGGGTCATTTTAGGGTAAAGAACAAGTGTCCAAAAAAAACCCCCACCGACAACAAGAGAAAAAAAAAGGAGCAGATTCTGATGTAAATACGGGTGTAAAAGTGGAGCTGCCTCGCAGCTGATGGAGACATTTGTGGAGAATCCCAGAGCTGGATAATTTAGATAAATAGCAGCTGACAGGTATTTACTATAAATTTGTCATATCTCACCACTGACGTTTTTATCAGCTATATTGCTTCTACCCAGAGCCCCTCTGACCCTAAGCTGCTTTGATGCATGAAATGCATTAGGAGAGGTAAGAAAACGTAAAGCAAATTGAGAAAAAACCAAAACAAATGTATTTAAAATACTCAGTATAAAAGGTCTGTGGGGTTCCTGTAGTCAAATACACGCAGCGTGCTTCGGCTGCTCTCTCTTGGTAAGTTCTGGCTTGCCTGTTTTAGGGATGGGGATGATGTTCTGTGTTCTCTTCACCATGCAGAGCATTGGGAGGAGAAGCCAGGGCTCGTGTTTGCTTCTGGCTGCGGTGGGTTGCTGCGTTCTGACCCCAGAACCTTCCCATACCTCTGCCCCAATGCAGCCTCTCTCGGGCACCGAAACGTTTGTCCTTTAGCTAAGGGTGCAAAACAGCTCAAGTTCTTCTTTAAGGGGTGAGAAAGTCCCTTATAGGAACCACGACTCAAATAATAAGCACTCCCCAACCCTCTCTTTTTCTTTTTTTTTTCCTCTCTGTAACTCTAGAGTTGTTTCTTTTATTTGATACTGAAATACGAACCGTACCACGGAAAGTCTGTGGCTTTACTTCTATTTTGGAGATCAGGGTTGTAAAGT